GAGAGAGAGAGAGAGAGAGAGAGAGAGAGAGAGAGAGAGAGGACTTGAAACTACCACCGATCTCGACTAGATCGTTCCTTAGGCCAACGAGTGTCTGAGAAGAGGAATTGGGTAGTGGTTGAGGAGGAGGAGGAGGAGGAGGAGGGGTAAAAAAGGTGGCGACGCCACAAAGTTGGCGGCTAATGGTCTGGCCAATGACAGAAAGGTCCTCTTTGACGCTGACGATGGGGTTGTGATTGTCTACGGAAGGTGTTGAGGGTTGGGATGGGGGAGAGGGGTTTTGATCGTTGGATTTGAAGGGATTAAAACTCTAGGTTCTTTCATACAACCTTTGGCCTTCTCAAATATACAACTGTTGAATAAGAAATGGTAAATAAGGATTATATATGTAAGAGCAAAATAATATTTTTTACTCATACCATTAACGGTGTTAATTGTATATTTCAATCCATTAATCTCAAAAAATTAGGTAATGATATTCAAATGTCAAGATAATTTACACTCAACGACAAGAGATAAAAAAAATGAAGTTAGCTCTAAAATAAAAATACATTGTAGTCGAATCCCGCATAACCAACATGGCCAAAAAGCGGAATGAATCGCGGCAAGAAACAAACAAATAGCGGGAAAACTTAGAATTATAAGGAAACCAACCAGTGGTCGGCAATCCGCATACCCAACCACATATCGTTCTTCTTCGCTCGTGTATCTCTATATGTATCAAGGGTTCAGTTTCAACCCTATATATATACATAAACACTCAAAGCTACTGTGTTCTGATAAATTCACAAGGCGGCGGAGGAGGAGGCACAAGGAGGGGTTGGTTTCTCAGGCCGCCATGGACGAGGTTAGGGAAAGCTCTGCTTGGGTCGCCTCTCACTCTTCTCACGTCACCGTCGACTCCTCTGGCAAGTCCTTTACACGATCAATTCATGAAAATTGCTAGTATAGATTAGAGCGATGTTATTGAACATTTGATATTGTTTATGTAGGAATTGAGAAAGTTGTGGAAACTATCAATGACTCAATCCCTATAATCGAGTGGGATTTGAAGGGACTCACTATTTTGATAACGGACCGCTCACAATTCAGTACTTATTGGTCTTGGATGCTTTGAATTTTTGTTTTTGGCCTGGTATGCTTCTACATTCTATATTTTGTTTCTGTTTTTTTTACCATTTGTTGATTTTTTTTTTTGATAATTATGAGTTCATTAAAAAAAGATATTTTAAAGTTTATACAAATTCATAAAATTGGTTCAAGAATCGATTGACGGGCCATTTCCCTAAATAAGCCAAATTATCAATTCAATTCCCAAACTAAGCCTAGTTTTGAAAGATTTCCCAAAATAGGCTAAAACGTGGTTCACAACCACGCTTTCACGTCTGTGTGCCTGTCCCACGTGAAAATTGGAAAGTCTTAAAAGCGTGGTTATAAAGCGTGATTTTAATTAAGAAAGCGCGGTTACAAAAGGCGCTTTTAATTAAAAAAATTTTCTTCTGAAATCGCTTTTCTGAACCACGCTTTTAACTTACATTTTTTTTTCTTTTGAAAGCGCGGTTGTGAACCACGCTTTTAACCAAAAAAAATTTCTTCTGAAATCGTGGTTACGAACCACGCTTTTAGCTTAAATTTTTTTCTTCTGAAAACGTGGCTATGAACCACGCTTTTTGGCAAAATTGTTTTTCTTCTGAAAGTGTGTTTGTGAACCACGCTTTTTATACGATTTTTTTTCTTTAAGTGAAAGCGTGGTTTGTAACCACGCTTTTAAAACTTATATAAAATCTCCCCAGCCCCGTCTTTTGCAATCACGCTTGTTACAACACCTTTCACTCTCGCTGCCTGCTCTCTCTCTCTCTCTCTCTCTCGCTCCCTGCTCTCTCTATCTCTCTCGCTCTTACCACTCTCTCTCGCTCTTACTGCTCTCTCTTTGTCGCTGTGCTCGAGCTCCCTCTGCTTCAGTATTGTCGCTCTTTGTGCTCTCTCTCGTTAGTATGGCTTCTGTCTCTCTTTGTTGATCTACTTTAATGCGTTTTTTGTGTTTGTGAAAATGTGAATGTGGGTATAATGTTGGTAGAATAGGATTCATGAATGTGGGTATAATGTTGGTAGAATAGGGTTCATGAATGTGAAAATGTTGTGAAATCAGAAATAATAAATTAGGGTTAGGGTTTATAATTGTGAAATCAGAAATTATGATTATGGTTTGAGAAATTAGGGTTTTGAATTGTGAAATCTGTTTAAAAATTTGTGAAATCTGTTTATAATTGTGAAATCTGTTGAATGTGAAATCAGATTTCTATTGAATGTGAAATCAGATTTCTGTTCAATGTGACATCTGTTGAATGTGAAATCTGTTTAGAAAAATTTAAATATTATGTTTGAAATTAGAAAATGAGGGTTATGGTTTTCTATTGAATGTGAAATCAGAAATGAGGGTTTTGGTTTTGAATTAGGGTTTTGAATTGATGAATGTGAAATCATTTTTCAATTACGGTTAGGGTTTTAAATTGTGAAATCAGAAATGAGGGTTATGGTTTCAGAAGTTAGGGTTTAAGAAATTTATGATAAGTTAAATTTTTTTAATAATGTTATATGATTTTTTTTAGGAACAAATAATTATCTATAATAATAATAATTTTCTTGTATATTATTATCATAACTAACTTTATAATTTCTTGGAAAAAAAACATGGCAAAACACAAGAAAATCTAATTTTGTCTATATAAAAATTATCTATAATTAAAATTTCAAAATTTTCTATCCCTTTCTTTCAAAATTTCCAAATTATTATTTTTTTTTTCTTTCACTTTCACTTTCACTTTCACTTTCCACAAAATTTTCTTTTTAATCAAAACATATTTAAGGAATAATCATGCCATTCCCTTTTATTTTCATTCCAATAAATTAAGCACAGCCTAACAATATTTACGATATATTAAAAAAAAATAAAAATAGAATCATATAATATATATATATATATATATATCAGTGTCTTACAAAATTGAATTACAAGGAACTATATTTAAAGTTGTCATGGTTAGTCTAGTACTAATTATCCTGAGTCCATAGATCCAACTGATCATTATATCATTTTTTCTTTCTCTATTATGGAAAGTATAAGGGGATGTTTAGCATAAAAGAAAAGCAAGTTCAGCCAAAAGAAAATAAGGAGAAAATTTAAGGGAAAGGGGGAGAAAATTTTCAATTGTGAGAGGGTGGTTGTGTCCTTCACCACGAATAGTCTCAGTGAAACCCAAGATGGTCGTCAACGACGTTCTTCTGATTGTGAATTACAAATATATTTTATAGGGTTTTCAATTGTGAAATCAGAAATTAGGGTTATGGTTTCAGGAATTTGGGTTTTGAATTGTGAATCCTGTATATATTTATTGCATTGTGAATTGTGAATCCTATCTATTTTTTTACAAATTAGGTTTTTGAATTTTGAATTGTGAATCCTGTCTATATTTTTTGAATTGAAAATTTAATTTCTGATTGCTTCTTAGTCCCGTCGATATGGTTAAATCTTGTTATTCTTTCGCTTATCTCTTCAGCTTCATCATTAGGCCACTATAACTAGTACAAAAACGCGTAAAAAAAAAAAATACTGAAAATGCCTTTTTACCTCTTTGCCAAAAAATTACCAAAACATTAGAAGTCAAAAAAATTGATATAAATAAATGACTTTTTACAAAAAATTTGATATAAACATTAGAGGTGATCCACAAAAAATTAGAAGTCAAAAAATGACTTTTTACCTCTTTGCCAAAAGAGGCCTTTGAAGTCGTCTTGGAAAATGCTATTATCAAAACATTTGATATAAATAAAAAAAATTTGTTTAAAAATTATGTTTCAAAAAATTAAAATATTTGATTTATAAAATGACTCATTCTCGATAATTTTTACCCACTTGAGTTATCCAATTGACTTATTCTCTATGTGCCTGCATTATGTTTATTCAATTAAGTTTTAACTTTTTATGATAGTCGGATGTCTGAATCAGTATACGTATTTATGGACTAATCTTACAATCCACACCAAACGTCCCTTCCACGTAAATCCGACAAATCTCAATTAATACCTATAAACATGACACATACTGAGAGTTCAACTTGAGACTTGAAAGGAGCATACCTAATTTTTAACACATAATGAGAGCTCATTAATATTAATGAAACTTAAGTTTGACTCGGTTTAGGTCGATAATTTTTTTGTTATGTTATTTATATTGCTTAAAATTATGAGAGCTCATTAATTTTTTATTTAGGTTATTTCTTACGTTATTTCCCTAAGTTATTTCCTACGTTATTTCGTATGAGGTTATTTCCCTAAGGGAATAATCTCATAGGAAATAACCTACCAAATCACTTTGTCATTAATGTCCCTAATGGCAGAAGCATGAGCAAATAAAAGTAACTTCTCTTTAATTGTCCTTACATCTTACTAATTGGACCACCAGTTTAAAAAAATTACGTGAACAATGTTTGAAATAAAAATTAAGAACAAGTCATACAAAATCAGTCAAGTTATTTCAACTCAATGAAAAAAATAATAATTTCATAGAAAAAGTTACACTATGATTTAAGATTTTTGTATGACTTGTCCAATTTTGTCCAATCGCACTGAATAAATACAATACTTGATTATACTATAAAATTGTATGAACAGAAAAATAAAAGAAGAATCTTCATAATGTCTTCACATTCAAATTATTGATATATTTGTCTAGTTTATCGAAATACTAAAAAAATAGATCAAGATTTATCAAAATATCCTCAAAATAAGTGTTTTTTAAATTGTTACCATTTACAAGAGTACGATTAAATCATTGCCCAAATTAGGGGCTTTTCCCAAATTAAGGCAAAATAGTAATTTATTTCCCAAAGTAGGTTTAGTTTGGACAGAATTCCTAAACTAAGCTAAAACGCGGATGCAAACCATGCTTTCACCGTTTTTGTGGCCCTCCCACGGACAATTTGTAAAATTTTAAAAGCGTGGTACAATCCACGCTTTTAATTAACAAAACGTGGTTACAAATCACGCTTTTAAGAAAATTTTATTTATACATAAATTTTTAAGTAATTATTTTTTTAAAGTAAATCTGATTAAGGAAATTTGATTTGTACATAACCATGCTTTTGTTAAGTAATTCTTTTTATCTTCAGAAAACGTGGTTGCAAACCACGGTTTTACTGTTGACCCGTGGATAATAACCACTTTTAAGCAAAATTTAAAAATTCAACAAAAAATTCAAAACCAGCACTCATGCTTGTTTCTCACAGACACTCACACTTACTCTCTCTATCTCTTTCTTTGACACACACACCCACAACACTCACACTCACATCAAACATATATAATTTGTAATATATATAAATTTTATTTTGTAAAATTCAGACCAATATTAAATATATATAATAATAATTGATAATAGCAAATAATAATCAACTATATAAAATAATTATTTTTTGACTTTAATTCTTAAAATGTAAATTTTTTTTTAGGTAAATTACACTGACACCCCTGAGGTTTATTTGAAAAAAAAAATTCATTTGAAAAAAAATAAAAATAATTTGAAAAATAAATTATTTAAAAAGATAAATTAAATTAAAAAAAAT